TTTTTTTGTCCAAGTATGTTTCTGTTTTTCGATAATTATTTTTATTTTTATATACAACAACATTATATTACCATTTATTGAAATAAATATATTATTTAAATAATTATTGATAGTAGAAGAAAAATATAATCAATACTAAACACAATCATGTTAAAAAACCGATTGTCTTAAAACTTTTATCAATTGTGTTGTTGTATTTATATAAAATATTATAATAGTTTACTAATAAGTTTTTATTATAATTATTATATTAAAGTAGTTGTGTATATTTTAAAAATACGACAAAAAAGTTGTTTTGATTATTTTGTTTTAATTGAAAAATTTGAATCATTTTTTATTTTTTGATAAATTTCAAAAAGTAGCAATAGTATATTTTTACAATAATTTATTACTTATTGTAAATTATTGTATATTAATTTGGATACAAGACAACAAAAAATATATTTATCCATCAAACATTTGAAAATAATTCCACTCAATGAAACATAAAAACAAGCTAATAATTCAATTTTAAATTAGTTTCACTAATAAATATAATCAACAATAACAATGAAAATTAGTTATAATTTGTATTATTTTAAAATAAATATAATCTAAAGTATAAATTAAATTTATAATGAATTTTTAATTAATTTAAATTATTCTTATATAATACTATAATATTTAAAAATATTATTCATTGATCGTTTTTAATAGTAATATTATTATTTATTATAAAAATGTAAATCATTGTAATATTATAATATGTTAAATTAAAACAATAAATTTCTATCGCAAACATTTTTATCGAATTAAAAAAACATAAACCTTATGCAAGAAGACGAGATTGTTGGCACATTTAAATGGAAGAAAGAAGGAGAAGCACCAAAAAGCTCACGACACGTTAAAGCTTCGCCTGCTCCGACTTACTCGTTTGATCCCAAAGGAAGTAATTTAACTGAAGTTGAGTGTTTTAGGTTGTTTTTTTGTGAAGAGATAGCAAATAACCTTTTGTTGTTTTCAAATAAAAAAATAGCCAAAGAACATAAGACTGATGATAACAAACTTTCTAAAACTAGCATCCTGAGGTACCTAGGAATTCTTCTCTACATGGGAGCTCACCATGATATCATTAATCCAGTGGAAGAGCTTTGGTCAATCGACCACGGAAAATCTATTTATAGAAATAGCATGCCACGTGACATGTTTAAATTCATTTCTTCACACATCGAAACTTACGATGTGGGCCAGCCAGATGATGTTTGTGATGATGCACCAGACACTTCAGATGATGGGGATGTCGAAGAAAAAGAGGAAGCTGACATCGGACCAGAAGGAGAGTATTTCAACTGCGCGGAATATTCAGATCGAGATTTCAGAGATCTCTCTGAAGAGCAACTCAGGAAAGATGTCAGAATCAATGGGGGAATCGTTGGTAGTGGAGTTGTTAAAGTCGTCCCTGCAATAACTCCAAATGCACACGACAGCTTTTCTAAAATTAGAGTGATTTTAGATAAGTTTATTTCTAACCTTGTCAACCAAACCTATTACAAACCTAGTAATAGTGTTTCGGTTGACGAACATTTGTGTTCTTATAAAGGGCATATGTGGGCTAAGGTGTTTATTAAGTCTAAGCCTGGACGTTATGGTATAAAGTTTTGGGTTTGTTCTATTTTTACCAAATGAGTTTTATTTATGAAGTCAAAAATGACGGATAGTTATTATTGGTTTGACATGTATGATCAAATTTAATAATTTAATTATTTGTTTATTTGAGTTATTTATAGTTTTCTAACTTGTAGATGTGTGCTGACTGTGAAACAGGAATGACTCTAAACCTCCAAATGTACTGTGGTAAGTGTGGTGGTAAGGAATACAATCAGGGCTTTAGAGTGGTCAGGGACATGGTGCTACCCATGTTATGCCGTGGTAACAAGTTTACAGTTGTGTGTGACAACTTCTTCTGTACGTTAAGGTTGTCACACTACCTTGCTTCATGTGGGTGCCAACTTTTGGGAACCATGAGGATTAATAGGAAAGAACTTCCTGACGAAGCCAAGGCAATCAAAGGAAGAACTCCCGATACCACCATCTTTTTCTCGAAAGGAAAGTGTAAGCTCATCTCTTACTTCAACGAGAAAAAGAAGCTGGTATTGGTCTTGTCAACCTGCCACGAAAAGAATGAAATTGAAGTCGTCGAGCAGGATGTGTTCATTGGCAAAGAAAAAATGACAATACACAAACCCCAGCCCATCCTTGATTACAACCACAAAATGGGTGGGGTTGACACTGTGGATCAGATGACCAGGTATTATACGTGTAGACGTCGAACAAACAGGTGGAACATCAGGGCTTTATATGATATGATTGATATAGCTGCCTTAAACGCGTATAAAACGTACTCAAATTACCACCCTTGCAAACGAGTAGATTTTTTTAACAATCTTTCTGGTGCTTTAATGAAAATGAAATGATTTTTCTATTTTGTTTGGTTTTTTATAAAGTAGGAACTGTTTATTTCATTCAATACGTGCTTTTTATTGAACTTCGAAAAAGATTATCGTGAAATAAAATAAAAATAAGGGTCATTATACCATTTTTTTCTTTTATACTTATGGATAAGTTTTTAAAAACTTGTGTTATAACAACATCGTGATGTCGTTACTCAACACCATAAACAACCGTTGGTAAATTATATGCATGAGTATTATGGTGATAATGGTGTTATAATGGTGTTTGTTGATAATTCTATCAAATTGTAAATTTTTTATTACAAAACTACAATTTATTAAATTTCCATTTTTATAAATAATATTTTTTATTATATAATATAGTTCAAAATATTTTTTTATTATTTGTTAAGTTTTTTGCTATTTGTTTTTTTGTTTATAATTTCTATTATCCCTTTATTTTTAATTTAATAAATTAATTATTGGTTTGTTGCCCAAAAATGCATAATTTAAAAATGAATAAACAGTGGCTGCAAAATAAACAATTATTTACCAAATACAAATCTTTATATTCTAAATAGATTGCATAAAACACGTTTTGCCTTTTGTTTTTGTTTGAAAATGATAAAAAATATAAAATTACAAATAATGAAATTATATCTTGCTTCCTCGACAGTGGCACGACTTGAAACCCAACAGGTGACCATAAAACCTCATGGTGATCAAAGTTTATACAAACGCGACTATATTGACTGTTTAAGTCATTTTCGAGAATTTTTCTCGATTTTGTGATTTTTGATACTTTTGAAAATGTATTTTAGATAT